TAATTGCGTGCGGTGTCCGCACAGAATAAGAACCCCAAAACTAGGGCATGGTGAACCCCAAATTTATTTACCAAAATTTATATCCAATTCTTTATAATTTCTAGAATATTTAGTATTTACATTGTTATCAAGAAAAAATTGCAATTTAGCACTTTAATATAGTCCTAAGAAGCCAAAGACACTACAGAGTTCCTAATATTTTTTGTAGCTTTTTTTTAAATATATATTTACAATTCGTTTGATTTTTTACGACAATATAAGTTTTTTTTCCTTTTTTTACAAAGATTATATGCATTTATTTCTCGGAATTTCTTTTACTTTTTCTGATTTGTAGGATTTTTTTATATTTTGCATATTTTTAATCTTCAAAAAATAAGAGGTGCCTCATTCTGAATTCCTCAATCGAATTTGACATACAATGATAACAAAAGTTGTTAGGAATTGATGTAGATGAAATCAATTCCATAAATGAATTTTCAAGAGATGAACTCACATTGCATTTGCATCAAAAATTGTGTGTGGAAAGTTTCATAATGAGACTTCTCTAAGTTAAAATTATCATCAAAAGATGTGCACGTGTAGTTTTAGAGTTGTTTCTAATTCAAAGTTTCACCTCTTGATAGGTGATTTCATTCAAAAGTGAAACTATGTATGTCATTGCAAGCTTTTTGATGTAACATTTTGTTTTGATGCATCATTTAAATGTGCTTTTCAATGCAATGTGTCGCATGCTTATTGATGCATTGTTCAGTTCATCCGTCAATTCCATAAATAATTTGCTTGTATCAAAAGCAAAGTTTCTTCAAAACAGATGTTTTAATTAGTAAAATTCATTGATAAAAGTATTCATTTTTAGTTTGCATTTGTTTGATACTCTTTTTTGTATGCATAAAAAATGAGTTTAAATTAGCACCAATTTTTCCCGATGCATGTTGAGAATTTGCATGCATATGCTCACTAGTGGGCCAACTAAGAGTATTTATTATGAAACCCTTATAGTAAAATGAAGCTGAACCCTTAAATATTGATGAACATTTTGGTGTCACTGTTAGAATTTCATCAGAAACTCCAAAGTTAGTGGTGCTCGTGCAAGAGCACTCTTGGTATGGGTGATCTCCTTGGAAGCTAATGGGACAAAATCGTGAAACCAGTAGGCCAAATCAAATAATATATCGATGGATGAGAGCTTGGGCTATTAAAAATGGTATCATTAAATCGACCTGAAGATAGGAATATCTGCCATGTGAATAATTTTGGGTTAAGAAAACTGACGAGAATGTGCATTACTTAAGTGAGGGAGATTGTGAGCCCCTTGGGTAGAATAAAGATGAACTCTTAAAATATTGAGGCGTCTTATGGTGTAAACTTTGGAATTTCATCAAAAACTTTAAAGTTAGGCATGCACGTGGATGGGTAACCTCCTAGGATGTTACACCAACAGAACAAAGTCGTGAGACCATTAAGAGAAAGCAGACAATATCTCAATGAGTAAGAGTTTGGATTGTTAAATTTATTAGCTGAGAATTATCATTCAAGGGCCAATATAAAAACTTATAATAGTCAATAGCTTAAAAGTGGGCCCTAATGAAAACATCAAACAACTCTAATGACTTGCATAAAATGTTCTTAAAACTGTGGAGCAACTAGAAAGAGCCTTTACCTCCTTTACCTAAGTGTCAAATTGGAGTTCATTTAATTAATCATAGCATAAGTTTTAAAATTCTCAAATGACATAACATCAACAAAAAACCTTTGTCATCAAAGTTGGGTTGGCAACTGGCAATGATAATTTTCCCTTGTCCAGCCGAGTGCAATTTACAAAAAAAATGTACAATGCTAAACAAGAGGCTAAGGTTGGTAAAGATAAAAGGAAATATAAATAAGTAGCACAAAATTCTTATGTATTTTATACATCTCACACCTAAATTTTCATATTTCCATATATAGCACTTTGGTGCTTTAAACCTATGCAAAAAAGATGTATTTTACATTTAAAAAGTGTTTAATAATGCTATTTTTATTTAATATTAAGGATTTGAGTGTGTAAATATGAAAGTTTAGGTGTGTGATATGAAAATCCATTAGAATTGTGTGCTATGTATGTCCCAAAGATAAATTATACAAAAAGAACGCAACAAAAAGACTGATTAGAACAAGCTTATGTGTGGAAGGATGTATGTGGAGAGAGAGAGAGAGAGAGAGGAGGGTGGTCGGGCACTTTAGGAGGGTCTGAACACTAGTGTGTATGTTTGTGTGTGGAATACAATTAGAGCTTATAACATGCACTATGACCAACCTGTATCCAATAAGGATCCCATTTACCCACACAAAAAAGGCTGAATCAACAGCCTCAAAATGCAACATGATCCGTCGGCCTGTAGAAATTTCAAAAACATGAAGTAAGCAATTGTTCTAGACGAAGTCCCAAAATCTATTAAAAAATACACCAGCACCCAATAAGAGATCCCATTGGTAAATTAATAAAATGATGTCAACATGGCACAAATTCACAAGTAAAAACTTTAAATGAAAACAATACAAAGAAACTGAAACATTTTATGATAAAAATATATAAATTCAAGATTATGGCAATCGAGACCTTAATCTGTAGTCCAGTCCATATCGGTTTCCTAAATTCTAGAAATTCAACTGATATTAAAGAATACAAATATACCGATTAAGCCCCAACTATTTCTGAACAGGCAAAGTGAAAAGACTAATTTCTTTTCCATTGCTGCTTGCATTAAATTTAGCTTCAAATTGTAAGCGCTTTAATATTCACAACTTTACATGCATATTTGTGCTACTCGTAGTGGCAACCATGGTTGTAGCCTATTTCCCATAAAACTCTAACGACTTTTTTATTATGATTATCATGCCTTAATATTGGGGTATTTATACACATACCACCCAATTCTTATGTACTTATATATCGCACTAATACTTTACTTCTTACATTTATACAACCCAAATCTTTCATATAAAAAACTATCACCATTTTAACTTCTACAAAATGAAACACACATTTTAATGCATAGGTAAGGTGGCATGTACTTAAAAATTGAAGTGACAACATTCTACAACTTCTAGAAGGTGTTTAAGAAAGGGATATAGCAGAAAAATGATTGTAGAGTAGCAAGGAAGTGAAAATAAAGGATATAGACGGTGTTTGGAAGGGTGTAGTGGCCGTCTGAACTGAAAACTACACTTGAATGGCGAAATGGCGAGGTGCATATGGCTTAGGCCACCTTTTCTTGAGCAAGATATAGACATGTCATTTGCAAAAGAAAAAGAATACAGCACTTCTTAGAGCAGAAATTAAATATTAAAATCTTCACAATACATAAAATCAAAGCTAGCTACCTCAAAATAGCAAAATTATATATATATATATATATATATGTATATATATATATATGAAAGGATGACAGGCAAGCATGTGGAACCACATGATTCCACTTGTTTCCATGCGAATCCATTCTATTCTACATGATCGTGGAATCCCGAGATTCTGCATGATTGCAGAATTCTCACTATCACGAGTGCCGACTAGCTAAGGGCCGATTGATTTTCTTATTCCAGCTTTATTTCATTTTTATTTTTATTTTTTCCTATTTCTCTATTTCTAATTAAGTTATTTTCTATTGGGCAACTCTTATATATATATATATATACATCTATATATATATATATAGATGTATATATATATATATATAAGAGTTGCCCAATAGAAAATAACTTAATTAGAAATAGAGAAATAGGAAAAAATAAAAATAAAAATGAAATAAAGCTGGAATAAGAAAATCAATCGGCCCTTAGCTAGTCGGCACTCGTGATAGTGAGAATTCTGCAATCATGCAGAATCTCGGGATTCCACGATCATGTAGAATAGAATGGATTCGCATGGAAACAAGTGGAATCATGTGGTTCCACATGCTTGCCTGTCATCCTTTCCGGTTAGGAGAGGTTTCTACATCTATAGGGGCTTCTGGAATCAACCTACCACCATAACAAAGTCATTGCACTGTTGTAATTGGGAGAGACCCACTACAAAGTCTATGCTCACTTGTACCTAATATAATCTTAAAACGTGTATATTCTTCCAATGTCTATCCTAATAAACTAAATACTCATCCCTTTTTACACAAATTGAGTTGAAACTCACATAGACGAGTATTCTCACTACCGAATCTCAAGTCATTAAATTTATAGCTTGTTTCTCCCACTCCTCATACTCAGTTGGGTGATTTGATAAACAAGTTTGTCAGAGGAAATCTACTTTAAAATGAAATCTGACATGCTTGATCACTCTCAGCGACAACCACTCGAGAGGTAAACTGTCAGTCAAGATAACAACTCTTTCAATAAGAGTTGACCCTTTTCTAGTATTAGTTCCTTGAACTCACTATCTTCTAGGACAATCAATGCTAGTCCAGTTGGAGTTTCATTCATGTGCTCGGCTTGAATCACTGATATCTCTCTCGTCAACTGAGAGCTCCTACTCATTTCTGACGTCTTCATTCTCTCCTATGTCACTACCAATTTTTTCAACTACTTCCTGCTCAGTGAAAGAGATCCCTCGCCCTCCTGTTTATAAAGTCAAAATCGTGACACTTGAAGGATTTTCTGACTGTGATGGATTTGGGAGTGATGGTAGTCTTCGTAATTTCTCCACTCTGGACTGATTTCTTCTCGAACGGTGTTGGCTTGCGTGCTTCACTAGGTGTATTCTTGTTGTATGATCCAATGACTAAACCTTATTTGAAGAGTATTATGAACCTGATAATGTTATGTTATCTCTCTACCTTTACTAAGATCTAGACATCCTATAATATCACACAAAGTTGTAGTTGCACTACGTTGTCAATTGACGGTCTCAACTTTCCTAAATATCGAGCTATGGTGTTCTCCTCAGCTCCACTAGCTCGCATCTAAACATAAGCTCCTCGAACTCAATCATACAATCATCTACTGCGAGGTGACTCTGTTGTAAGTGATGAAGTCTCAAGAATGACTTTTATATAATGTGATGGTATGTAGTTGCAGTGCATCTTCTTTTTCATCTTAGACCATAAAGTGATTTTATTTTTCTCTCGCAGTGGCGTTAACGCTTCAAAATTTTCCATCACAGAGATGTGCTCTTCTTTAGCTTGGCGGTGGCTAACTTTACTCTTCTATCACTTAGATATTCTTGTATTCAAAGACTTGATCCACTGCCCGGAGCCACTCGATGATCTTAACCAGATCCATGCAACCATTAAAATCCGACAGGTCAACCTTCACTCCAAAATGTCGGCTCCTCTTTTGCTACTCCATGCCAAATCATCAGAGTATTAGTTCTTCATCAAAATGAAAGGGATTCACTTTTTTCACTAAATCAGGTGAGTCACCGTTATGACACCAGGTTGTCTCCTCTCAATGGCGACAAACTTTTGTAGTGAGCTTCTGAAACCACATTAAGAGTTTCTTCTTGGCGGCATGATGTCTCTTTCTTCTAATGAAAGTTTTGACAGAAAAGAAGATTTCAGGTTAGGGTTGGTGTTAGAGTTAAGTGAATGATGTAAATTTACTTTGGTGTGGGCGTTAGGTTAGGTTGTATTGTTTCTTAGTTTGTGTTAAAATGGCAAATCTCTAAAAATTTAGTGTTTTTCGGGCTTTAATATCATATGACACCGTTCTAAGGCTCCTAGAAGGTGTTTAGAAAAGTGATTTGACAAAAAAATTGTGAAATAATGGGTGAAAATAGGTCATATCTATGACATACGGAATAGTATAATGGCCATCCAGACTGAAAACAGTGGTCAAACGACGAAACGTCGGGAAGGTTACACCACATGTTCCTAAGGAAGATAGAGAAACACCACTTGCAAAAAATAGATGATACAACACTCCTTAGAGCAAATTTCAGATATTACAAAATTCATAATACATAAAATCAAAGCTAATGTATCAAAACAACAAAAAGACAAAATATATAAGAGCTCCCCAATAGAAAATAATTTAATTAGAATTAAAGAAATAGGAAAAATCAAAAAAGAAAGAAAATCGGGATAGAATCAGAAATCAGGTGAATCTTGGCTAGTTGGCACCCACAATCACAGAATTATGCGATCCCATGGAATCACAGGATTCTGCGAACATTTGGAATCACGTGGAATCAAGCAAAATCATGTGATTCCACAAGCTCTCGCGCCATGAAGTTTAAGTGCTAGATATGTAAATACATAGAAATTGAGTGGCATGTATGTAAATCTTCCTATTATGTTTTATTATTTTCAATTTTGGGCTATGCTAATAGCATTAAATGGTAAAAGATGGTTCAAAATTTCAGAGCTAGTTTTGGCGGGAAAAAAAGGTCCTCAAGCTATAAACCCAAATTTTGCCATGGACAACATCCACCATTGAATGTGTTGCATTGCTACATGTGGGCCCCATAGTCATTTTTATATAAGCAAAGGCAACCATAACTATCACTGTGATTTTTTCTTTTTTGGTAAATCCATTTAGAGTTTGCTTGGGATAGTTTTATGTCTACTTGACCTTTTCAAATCACCTTCATGATTCTGTCAAAAAAACTGTTTCTTTACCTTCTAAAATTTTATGTGATAAAAACTGTCTTTTTCAACATAATTTGTTAAAGTGCGGTGGTTATAAAAAAGTTGTCTGATTTTTTGATATATATATATATATATATGACCGACGGTGATTCGAGTATGGCGTCGAAAGGGCAGCAGACTCTGCTAGGGTTTCACTCGATGGCGATTCCCGGCTGTGATTCCTCGATTTCGCTCTTTCTCTCTGTCGTCTCCCGCGACGACATTTTCATGCCCTCGCAGCTTTCTCGATGACGCTAGCTCACAGTCGTCCTCCTGTCGACGACACTCGCTCGCGTCGTCTCTCCTCACCCGCAGTCGGCGACGCTCGCTCGCAGCTCCTCGTTAGCCGTCACGGCTCGCACCGTCATTCTTGTACTCGACGACGCCTCTGTCGCCCTGCCCGATAGACAATTTCCCCCTAAGTCTGCTTGCCTTGTTCTAACGGCTCGCCTAGCCTCTCTGGAGATGGTCTGAGTGCTGAGAAGGTGCAACCCGATCAGCCACCTAAGGTCGAATATCGCTAAAGATTTGTCACCTATCATCCCTGCTGAGAAGGTGCAACCCGATTCTCTTTCCAACACCGTAGTTCTTGATGAAGAACATCATCTATAGGTACAGATCCAAACGTGCTTATACCACTTACTGTTATTGAAGAAGACGCACTTACATGCCAAGACACACGAGAGCGCCCCTTTGATTCAATAAAAGTTCAGTTGGTACAACAAGTCGTTGCTTCTAATGTTCAACAACCTACACATATTTGACACACTTTAGACCAA